ATCACCTTTCTATTGTACTGGGATTTCACTAGCCAATCTGGTGTTGCCACGAGTTCTTGTAGTATCTTTATCAGACTCAGCCTCACATTATGTCTCGTGACTTCAGTTAATCCAAATTGGTGTTCTAACACACCTCGCTTCACAGCCACAACTTCTTAGAATAACTATTTCTCGAATATGTCTATCTGTAAATATTCCGGGTTCCCTGTACTCGTGGTGTTTCACACCTGTTTTCGAATTTTTATTAATCTAACATTGGGAGGAATTGAACTGGCAACTATCCGATTTGCAACCTGGGAGCATAACCGCTATGCTATCGACCCACAGGTCACAATTCTAATATTAATATAAGCTAAATTTTAATAATTTATTTTGATAATAATTTTCATGTTACACTACATATATAATATACTGGTGTTAGCACTACAGATATAATTTAAAAATTAATAAAAACAATCTGTCCCTTTTCTATTAACTTCTCTCTATATGATATTTATTTATTATCAAAAATTTGCTAATATAAATATAATTGCTACTACAAAAAAGAGCTATTAAATTTTTTTTGATCAAAGACATCTTAATAACTACTTGATTAAAATTGATAGTAATTTTTTTATTTAAGCTTTACAGATTTGTAAAATTCAAATAAAAAAATTATTATTATTAAAAAGTTTAAAGTAGCTCTTTTTTCTTGGCAGCACTCATGTAATATTGTCATTTTTCAAAAAAGAATTAAAGTTAAAAAAGTAGAGTGGTGCTAACTTTCACCCTAGGTAACATCACCTAGTTGCATAAAAACCAATCAGATCGCTAGATCTTGTATAACCAAAACAAAGCAAAGAAAAGAAAAAATTTTAAAAAAAAACTTTAATAACTCTAAATTTTATTATAAAAACTATATTTCAACTTCTAAACAAAAGTTTTCAGCTTTGAATTTTACATATGAGAACCCTCACAGCAAAACAAACCAGTAGGCAAAAAAAAATTTTTTTTTTAAAAAAACTTAATTTCTTGAAGAATTGAATTAGAAATGCAATTTTTATAAAATTACAAAAACAAAATTTTTTGCCCACTGGTCTGTTTTGCTGTGGGGGTCCCTATATATAAAATCTTTTACTCAAACCCTAACCTAACTTTAGCTTAAGCCTAACCCTAATCTTAACTACATGTAAATTTAAAAATTTTATAATACTGGGTGATATCACCATGGGTGAAAATTAGTTATAATCAAAAAAGGAAGTATTAGGCATTTTCTTATCAAAAATAAATACAGTCGACTCTGGATATACCGAACCTGCCTATACTGAAATCGGGATATAGCGAACCAGATCAGGCAGAACGGATTTTTTATAATAATTTAGGCTGACTACACCGAACTTAAATAGTAAATTTTTATATACCGCATCCGAACTGCCCATGACTATATATGTATATAATTCGATATAACGAACTATTATATGACTTTGCGAACATACATACCTGCGAAGTCCTGAGATCCGAAATACTCCGAGAAGAAAATGAATGAACATAAGGACAAGGCAAAATTTTTTGACAAAACTCTGAGATTTTCCGAAGACAACCCAGTTATGAGCATAATTTATTAGCTCTATATACTGAACTGTTCGATATAGAAGAGTAGCGAATTTACTCTATACCGAACAGAACATGCAGTTCGGTATATCCAGAGTCGACTGTATTATAATTGCTATAGAATTAAGCTTTTAGCCTTTATTATTTTCTGTTTTATTAATCTTTCTTATAGGAATTACATGTTTGGCAATGACTTAAGTTTAACTTGGTAGAAAATAAAACAAGAAAATAGTGCATGCATTTATTCTTTTTCTAAAATAGAAAACATATTGGATATTGTTATTAGAATAAACTGGTATCGAAAAGGATAAATATAAAAGCATTTATTTATAATATAGACAAAATGTTTGCTATTAGTATTATATAGATTAGAATAATTATTATAATGTCATATTTATTAATAACAATGCTATCTACTACGTATACGTATACATACGTTTGTACCTTTCAATTTCAATTCTATTTTTTGAAATTCCATTAGAGTTTTCTATTTCAGCATATTTTGATAAAATGAATGCTTTTGTTAACTCCCTTATCAGCATTCCTAATATTGTCAAATTTCAGTTAGTGTATCGGCTCTATACAGTAATCGAAAAAAAAATTATAGATTAAATTGAGATGAATAATTAAAGATTTAATAATGAATGTAATACTATACTGTAACTTACAACAGAGAATTCGGCATAATTCTTTGCATCAATTTCAAAAGTTATTTTAAAGCTTGTTTGATATATTCCCATTAGAATTGTTTATATGTTTATATCCGCAGGTTGGTTGTCAGAAAGAACATGCTAAAATGGAGGGAGCTTCGAAACATGAATCATGAATTTTAATAGAAAAAAAATTTTTTAACCATAGATTTCTTGCCGATTAGCCAATAACATGCTTGGACGTTAGAAATTGTCTCTGGACATATCGATATGTCCATGGGCATTAATTTTATCAGACGTTTGTCCATATACATTACTTGCTGCAGGAAGCAGATGTCTTTCGATTTTTAACAGTTGCCTTACCTTGTTTAGTGCTTGCGAAAGTAAATTTACTAACGCAGGCAACCTGGATCACACTCGACGCTCCCCCGACGCACTAAACAAGGTAGGGCAGCTGTTAAAAATCGAAAAAGACTTCTGATATGCAAGATGGACGCCCATGTCCAATGATTTTCTTGGGCGTATGTATGTGCATCACTGAAGTGGCTGTAGAAGAATTTTACAGATCCTATCGAGCACGTACGCACGTACCTATTGATTTTGATAATGATACCGATACTTGTATGTACTGTATAAATCAGTTTTAGCATTTACTATGTCCGTATTTTTCTCCAAAAATTGATATAGTCCAAGTACTATATGTTCAATTGAAATTCTACGCCCACGTTATAATGTTCAATTAGTCCAAGTAACAAAACATATCTCGATGGAAATCGTGGATTGTTAGGATTTGCGCATATTTTTGGACTCTAGAAAATCTTTCCTTTTTAATGACCCATTTACATTGTGTACATGTTTACCGTTTATTTATATATTGCAATATATATATTGTAACGTATTCCTTTTTTGAAAAAAGATTTCCACGTCGACGATAAAAGTTAGCGAATACTATGATTATCAAAAAGGAAAACTTAAAAGAATTTGGCGTATCGCCTCTTGCTCCAGTTATAATTAATGTTCAAGATGATGAAATTGTATACCAAGTATGATAAAATGTTGATATTTATTTATAATTTCCTTAAATTATTATTAATTGATTTTGAAAATTATACTTACGTTTAGCGAATCTTACTAGTATATGGACAAGCAGGTCCTAGAGATTTAACATATCATTCGAATATTACCGTTGAGCATCATGCTGATAATTTTCCTTCTACTACTTGGCCAATTTTCAACTCTCATTTTAAGTGCCTTGTCCACCTTGATCCGGGTATGCCTATATTATTCTAAGATTTGAAATTTTATTAAAAGTTTTACTAAAAGTCCCAATAATCTATTATAAAGGACCAAATAATATCCGGTTCACCTTTGATCCTGAGTCATGTTCGCCAGGATTGAGCCCATTGTCAACTGTCATCACCATTAACTATATACCAATGTTACAAAATCCTCCGTTGCATTTAGCCATGCTTGTCGCAAAAGATTCGAAATGTGTTATTGACACACCACCTGAAAAAGTTGTATCCGGAGACAATAACCTGGATTCTGCCAAAGCAAAATTTCGATGTGCTGCTTATCTATGGCAAGCTTTTACTGCTGAACAAATGTATCGTAACGGATTTGGCAGGAGGTGAATATTCAATATTGCCGATAATATAATATGAATTATCGTGTATATGATTTATTAATATGTTTTTTTAAACTCATCAAAATTTTTATAGAGTTTTCCGATTAGAAGAAGAATGGCAACAAGGTAATAAATATTGAAGTTTTTTTTTTTTTACAAATGTTATTATTAAATAAATTTTTATTTCTTCAGACACACTCTCTAACCAAGAATCAAGTTTACGTCAAACAGCAAAGATTCACATAATTCGTACACAATATACATTAGAAGAGTTATTAGATCCAGAGCGCGCACAACAATATAACCCACCACCTGGCTCGCCACCTACCACAAAAGAAGATTTATACTCCATTTTTATGAATGCTTTACAAGAATATGGTGCACCCTTTGACAAGCAATGCTATGTAGCTGGATTAATACTCGACTCGCATTGGGATCCTGAAATGAAACTAATCCGAGGACATGCTGCTTTAGGTGGTGGTGGTGGTCACATTCAACTTGGGATTTTTGGTAGTCATACGACACACGCTTGGCCAAAGTTTTTGGAAGAAGTTGTGAGTTGTTTTCAAGATGAGACACAGACAGATGAGAATATTTTGGCAAATGATTGTCAGGAGTCTGGCACTTGGTGGAGGTGTTGCAATATTGGAATAGGTGCAATGGTAAGATATCTGAATTTTTTTTTTTTTTTTTTGCTGGATAAAAATTTTCTATAAATATTAATTTTTAATATCATTCTCATTCAAGCTGCATGAAGTTGGACATGCTTTGACTTGTCCACATTCAGCTTCAGGTAAATGTTAAGTATTGTCATCATCTGGGGGAAGTCAATATAAAATGGCCAATTTTCTAAATTTTTTTTTTTTAAAAAACTTTAAAATATTTCAATAACTATAACTATAAACCAAAGTTTGATAAAATTTTTTTGATATTTATATATATTATATTTATAATATATTTATATTATATATATAAGATTAAAATAAAAAATTTTATCAAATTTGGTTTGAAAAAAGTTACTAAAAATGATTTGCTTGTTTTTTATTGATTCCCTTCTATTTAATAAAATAATATAAATATATATAAACTATATGACATTAATATGAACATATATGCCGTTAACAATAGGCATTATGATGCGAGGATTTAACAATCTTAATCGTACTTTTACTGTTAAAGAACCAAACAACACTCATCCGATCACTCCGTCAGACGAAAGGTATGTACTATTGATAAAATTACTAATATTTCGCACTTGTAGTATGACATAAAATGCGTTACAATATGTTTTGAATCAGAATGTTTTAGTAATTTTTAACATATGCATTACCGTATTCATGGTTAAAGTGGCGCACATTGGCACAGATGTGACGTGATTAGATTCCGATATCATCCTTGTTTCCGTATTCCTTCCGACCCTCGAAGATCAATTGCATACAAAGATGTGAGTCCAGACTTTTGGCCTTTAGATGATTCTTTTCTTATAAGCTGTAGCTCTGGAATTTCCTTGGTAGAGATTCATTTAAATGAAAATTATGTATATCATCTTGAATATCTTGATGAAAGAATTCATGAAGATGATATTGAGTTGAGCTTGGAAGATATCATGAACCGCGTTGGTTGGAAGCATGGTGATGAACTTACATTGAATGTGATAGGTAATTAATTTCTTAATTAGTTCCTATATTGACATAAATTTTAAGATGGTAATATATAGTATTCTTATGATAATTAATATTAATTCCAGGTAAAAATCAAACAGAAAACACTTTACATAATGCACATGCATTTTTAGATAATAGTCATATTGTAGTACCAATACACGGAAAAGTGTTGAAAAGTGCGAGGTTAGGAAGGGATCAAGGAAAGGAATTTCAAGCTATCTTCAATAAGCCACAATCCTCTTTCCAGAAATCACCATCATCATCAATTTATTCATTTTCACCAAAAAAACCATATTTATCTCAAATCATCATAAAAGCTGGATTATTTATTGACTCGATTACGTTTATTTGGTCTGATAATACGGTAATAGAAATAGGTGGGGATGGAGGCGGTGAGCATGAATTTACATTGGATGAAGATGAGAAAATTATAGGACTGAATGTTAGAGCCGGATTTTATATTGATGGAATTGAAATTAAAACTAATAGAAGGAGCAGTGGATGGATTGGTGGATCGGGTGGATCAATGCATTTTTTGCATGTACCTAAAGATCACGAAATGATTGGGATTTATGGAAGTGGCGATACCTATATCAACTCCTTAGGAATAATTTATAAGAAATCGTAAATCTTATGAGTAGGTTAGGTGTAAGAAAGATAAATGGATTTAAAGTTTTAGAATTCTTTGTTATAATAGACACATAACAATTTTTATATTATGTTCATGGTTTCATATTTTTTTAACAAAATGAAGAATTCAATAAACATGTTCGTATTAGACTAAGTACATTAATTCATTTCAAACATATTTTTTGAAGTTATCAATTAAAGCGCGCAACTCTTTAAATACATTAATTTTAGTCTTCAAAATAACAAGGTTTAATATAAATATATGATACCAAGAAATAACTTAAATGGACTCGGTCCCTGAAAAATCTTTTAATCGAATTTTCAGGGGGCTTTACGAACTGAAAACATCGAAATTACGTTTTGATATTTTTATTAAGTATGCATCAAAAACGTAATTTCGATATCAAAGTGTATAGACATTGAGTCCTCCGCTTCGCCCCAAACAATAAAGTTGTGTTTATTCACTGTAAAAGAAAAAAAAAGCAGGAATATGCGCTCCGAGTTTGCATGCGTGAGAACGTTCTGCTTTTACTAATAAGGTAATTGATGTAACTAGTTTAAAAAATGACGCGTCCATTTTAGACAATTTCATCTATTTATGTTTTTATTTTCTTTTTTTGTTATATTAATCGTTGTTATTAACTGTCGTTACATTAACGTTGTTTGAAAGGTACCAAAGTAGCAAAGATGAAAAAAAATATTTACTTAACGTCAGTCTACAATCAGAAGATCAAGCACAAATTATACCTAAAAATTAGAATGAAAGAGGGTAAAGAGGGTGTGGGTTAAAAAAAAAAAAAAACTCGCTATTATATAAATGATGTCATAAAATATAATCAAAGATGTGGCGGGACTAGATTTGAAGACGTTTTTAACATTTTATCCAAGCTAATACATTATTCGCGTGAATCATCGGATCCAATAATCCTGAGTTTAAATGTTTAAGCATAATTTCAACTGATTTCCTTCCTGGATGCAGGCTGAACAATAATCCGAAAGGTTTTTTGTTTAATCTTTCTGCACATACATCGAGGAAGTCTGATAATGCAAAATAATCAAATCTCCAGGAACCAAAGAAGCAAAGTAATCGTAAATTTTTCGGTATATTTTCGCCGAAAGACAAAAATTTTTGAGATATATCCGAATATTCCGAATGATCACATTTGGTATTTGCGAGATTACGTACATTATCTGTATAAAACTTTACCTCTTGTAGTAAAACACATGCAAGAAAAATATTTAAAATGTGACTACCCTTAGAATTCGGAATGGTTATCTCCAAATGTGTTATACTTGTGCAAGAATCAATGATCGTGTTAATGATACAGTTTTTAGGATCATTGTTGGCATGAGTTGAAGATGATAAATATACTTCGTAAAAATCGACCGGATAATATTGCCAGACTATTGTGACGTTTCGTAAAGTATCATAAATGTTGGAATTTGTGATAAGTCTCGAGATCTGACAAAAAGTCTCAGAAGTTGGATGAATTGCAATTTTCAAATCCAAGGTTTTCAATTTCGTTAAAGCTGATTCAGCAAAATCTTCCAAGACATGATGATCCATGGATTTGTAAAGATGCAATTTCAATACTTGCAAATTTGTGCATCCGGAAAATATCCCAAGTGAAAAATAGTCGTATGTTAAATAAACTCTTGATAAGATGTGTACATATTTAAGTGAATCAACTTTTTCTCCAAGTGCTTCTTCAAGATACTCCCATGATTGAAGACTTCCATTGAATTCAAGAGAAATCTTTTGTAAATTATCTTGAACTTTAATTAATGTTGCAACAGCCTCGTCATTCTTATGACAATCAACAATGTGCAAGTCTTCAATTTTGTGAGCCACTTGTGCCATCTTAAAGAAGAACCCGGATGTAACACTTTCTAAACAAAAAAACAATATTTAGAGATACACGTAAAAGTATATATAATATGAATCATAATGATGGTAACAAAATTCATATAAATGGTAGGCATGATGCATTGATTACCATCAGTTTCAAACTTTTCGATGCGCGAGAAGAAAGAATTTTCGCCACAAATATGTGAATGCAATGGTTCCATCATTCGATTTCGAAAAGGAAGATGAATCTTGTTAACATTTATAAATGAAAGAAATCTAATGCTTTCGGCGCTAGTGGCAAACTGCTTGCAAATTTTTTCAAGTATCACGTAATGAAAATAATCTATCATATTGCCATCATTGTCTAGAGAGAGCCATTCTCTAAAGATATCAATAAAATTTAGATAATTTAAATTGTACAAGAATAACTCATACTTGAATGTTGACTTTGTTTTGATGCAATCGGGTAGTTCTATTCCAATAGATTTAAGGAAATTTTTTGCATCATCGTTCAAACACCATAAGTATGTTCTTGCAAGTTGCACCTTCCTCTCTTTATCGCCCAGAGCATTATTATACACGAGCGAAAATGGGTCCTTGTAAAGAATCGGGGTAACGTTTGCGCACCAAGTTTTATTGACTAAAGCAAATTTCCAAATTGTTGATACATGAAATCTTTTAAAAATTTGTTGATAAATTTCCGTTGGGATCAGAGGGATCATGCCCGCCACTAGATTTAAATCAAAGTTAAATGCTAATAACTTGGAAAAGGATTATTTCATATATATAAATTATACTGCGAGACAAGAGGATGATGAACTACGGATGACATTAGATGTATATATTTATATAATTTTGATGATCTCTGATTGGTTCTTAGGATTTATTGGCTTTTATTATCAGCCACTCGTTAGGTGGCGGTGTTCAGTTTTTGAACACGAATATTGGAATAATCGTTTATTGTTATCATTATAATAAATTATATACTATATTAATCGGGAGTACATACTAGTACATTTGCATAAAATTTATTAATGCGTACGTACGTACGTACGTACACCGTGCTGACTCCTTAGGGTGTTCAATCGATTATTAATTAATTAAACAAAAACATATCGATATGGTAACGTAAACCGGTACGTATAAAAATTTACTTTTCCTTGGCAGTCTTTGAGCGGTTTTTTTTATTAAAGGTTTCTCATAATTCATTATTTATAATTTAATGATTTTTAAAGACGTTTTTTTTTTTTACAAATAGCTTAAAAGGACTCTATTGCATGAAAGAGAATGATGAAATCTTTCAAATAAATAAAATCACTCAAAAAAAAGTAATTTGAAACTTTGATTTTCATGTGTTGATATATGAAAAAAAGGTGATCGTTACTGTAAATTATAAAATGATAAACATTCAAATTACTTTTTCTCAACTTTGTCATAATTAACAAGGTTTTTTTTTTTTGAAGCTCTTATTTGGAAAATGAACATTTAAATAAAACCGCTCAATATTTTTTAGGATTTTAGAGAAAAGACAATTAAGTGGCAAATCGCAGTTGAAGGTATAAATTTCATTGTACGTAAAAATCAGCGGAGAATTACTATTATCTTTATATAATGCTAGAATGCCGAAAGTTCTGGAAATAATTAAAAATTGTATAGCAATAACTCGTGACGATTTCAATAATTTAGTACCAAAATAACTTGCTTTACAATATTTGTTAGAGAATTAATAGGCATTCACTTGGCACCAAAAAAACTTTTTATCGAAAGCTAACTGCATTTCATCATTATAAAAAAATTACAGTGCTAGTCAAAATTAAGTTATCTTTAAATTTTTAAATTTTTAAATTTAAAATTTACGGCTTTAAAACTTTTAATTTAAATATCGATAGTATATTTTTACTAAAAAGTGCACCCTTACACTTAATAGCAGCTAAATAAAATATTAACGTTAAAGCAATGATAAACGTTAACGGGTTAGAGTAAAGTTGCGAACATTTTTTGTTAGTTACACAAACGAGGCTATCTTGGCAAAATTCTGAAATATACAGTAACCTCCATATAACGATAATAAAAATTATTTCTAATTTTTATGTTTAAATTAGTCCCGAAATAACGAAACTACTAATAAAGTTTTGATATAACGAAGCAAAACCTCCAGCTCCAGAGCTTCGTTATATCGAGGTTATACTGTAGTAGGGTGCACTGAATACACAACGTATTTTTGGATCCGCCTTACTTCACCGACAATCATTTCACCGACAGCTCACTTAGCCGACATCACGCCGAGTGACAACTTACTAAAAATATATACAGGCAACTAATAAAACGCTAATCCTAACCCTATGTGATGTTGGCTAAGTGAACTTTCGGTGAAGTGAGCAGCACCGGTATTTTGTATTTTTTAACAAAATTCTAAATAATATAGTTTATATTTAAAATTTTATAATTAGGCCATGCAAAATTAATTACAGCTGTTTTCATAAATTCTGAAAAATCTGGCAAAATTGACCGACCGAATATTTGCCGATTTGATTCATTAGGGTGATTCATAATTAACTTATTTCAAAATAAGTAGAGGTATAAAATATCCTATTTCTGTTTTGAATTTTGAAAAAAGAAAATGAAATAGGAGTTATCCGGAGATAAAATGTGTACCCTTTTTTTTTTTTGATAATGTATTGTTATTAAATGATACTATCGTAATAAATTAATAAAGAACTACAAATTATCGGTTAAATTTTTTAAAAAACTCTTAAATGATATTATATAATTATTTTCGAACTATTAATATTCAATAAAATTATATGCCTTCCAAAAACTTTTAAACAAACCACTAAAGAAAAGAACTTGAAAAAAAATCATAAGATATAGATCTAATTCAATTGTTGCAGTATGTCTTTAATATGTAATTGTTGATCAGAAATATAAAATATATATGTGAAAGATATCAAGTTTCGAGAGAAAATTCACAATCATAAAAGAGTTAATTATTATTGCTATTATATTCATAAGCTTACAAATCAAAATTAATAAGATTTATGAATCATTGATTTCGAAATAAATACATCACGAAATCAGAAACCCGATCCTTAATTCTGAATCACCTATTACTGCAATCACACCAGAATCAGAAGTTTGTCACAAAAACTTATCGAACCGGCAGATATTCGGTCGGCCAATTTTTGCACGATTTCCACAATTTATGAAAACAGCGTAATTGGTTTTCATAACCCGGCCGGGTCAAAATTTGAAAGCTTCAAAAAAATTTTTTTATATGGTTTACAGCTGTTCTCATTAATTCTGGGACAACTGAAAAATTTTTGATGACTGAATTCGATAAGTTACAAAATCGGAATCCATAGGTAAATGACTTCGGCCGAACTCAGAAACTTATTGAATTCGGTCATCAAAAATTTTTCAGTTGTCCCAGAATTTATGAGAACAGCTGTAATAACCGGGTGGGTTTTAAAAAAAAATTTTATAAAATTTTATATATGAAATTTAAAAAAAAAAAGCCAGCCGGCCGGGTCTATTTAAAAATTTCATGTTATGAAAACCAAGTAATTAAATTTGTATGCCTTACTATATTAAATTTTAGATAAAATTTATATTTTTGTGTTTTTTAAAAAAAAATAAAAAAAAATTAAAATTAGTACAGTATATTAAATTTTTGGATCTTCTTTATATAGATGGGCAATATAGAAATATTATAAAATTACAATTAGTGATGGGACCTCTTGAATTATTAATAATTAATAATAATTGTCGCGGCTGATGCTGGAAATTTCAATTATTTTAATATGAAATTTCAAAAATTTTTTGGGCCTTTTGTTAGGGGGTTTTTTTTAGAGTTAGGTTAGGGTTTAGAGGTAGTTTTAATAATAAAAGAGTATAAGTGAATTTTGGTAGGGTTTTTATTTTTAAATCAAGGTCCCTAATTTCTAGCATCAGCTATTTCCAGCTTCAGCCGCGACAATAATTATTAATTGATTGATCAAATTATTAACTAATAACAACTTAATAGTATATGACATAGCTAATTAATATAAAATATATAAAAAATGAAAGTTGCATCAATATTTTCTCAAAAATTGGTAGACTAAACTTTTATTAAATCTGTTGGTAGTTAATTTAATTTATCATATTGACATTATTAGCAATAATCAAAGTTATTAACTATTAATAATATTAATAATGCATTATTAAATTTTTTTATTATTAACTAAAAACTCAGAGGTCTTATCACTAATTACAATACAGTACACCCTCTCAAATCTGATATACATAGTAGACAGCTTTTGCATTAGTTTTGAGAGGTTATCAGATTTAAAATTTGATTTAAAATACCAATAGCCTGCTGTTACATAATTACAAATAAATATAACTGGCTGGATTATATTTCTTATACCGTATTCCTTCAAAAATAAGCACTCCCTTGGAGCAATTTTTATAGCCAAAATTCTTGTGATCTAGTGAATGGATCTGTATAATTTTAGTATTATTCAAATCAACTTGTCAAAATGATTTAAATAGTACCAAAATTATACAAATCCAATCACTAGATCATGAGAATTTTGGCTATAAAATTGCTCCAAGAGGGTGCTTATTTTTGGAGAAATACAGTATATATAATCTGTTGCACAAAACTAATCTTAGCCAATCAAATCGTTTTATTTTTTATTTTTTATTTTTTTAAGATGAGATCTTGTCTCATGTTATTTACTAGATATATATATATAAATTATATGGGGTGTAGTCAATTAAAACAGCCCATTTTTACATATATCTTATTTTGAGATAATTGAGTTTAATTATTTGTTTTGATTTTCAGACTGATCTGGGATTAATCAAATTTCACAATTTTGATTGATTAAAGATAACAGATGACTATCAGTTGATCTCATGATGCGCTGGCTCTTACGCAGCCTCATGATATTTTTCTTTTATATTATATTGATTTTTTATTATGCAAATCGACTTTCATTTATAATTAAAAAATGTCAATCGTGTCAAAATTTATATAAATCTAATAAAAACTCATTTTTCAAAAAATTGTAAAAATGAGCTGTTTTAATTGACCACACCCCATATATATTTATACTACAATTAATAAAACAGTAGCTTAGACTAATTATCTATAATCTATATCTACCAGAGCCATTCATGTTCCACTTATATATTACCTGAATTTTTTGTACTACTAACTAAATATCCTATTCTAATCTAATATATTTTCCATATTTTTTATACTAACAACCTTACACTCCCAATATGGTTCTAGTGCAGTATCCATTACAAATCCTACAAAGAAGCATAATTTCATAGCTACTTCCAGTTTGGTGTAGTATATGTTGTCTGCTATTACTAAGTTTGTATCTCAAGCTATTATTTGTAATGCTGCTATAACCCAGTTCATATCTCAAGTACAACCTTCTTTAATATGTATAGTGTTGATAATATGTATGCAGGACTTGATAACAGATACTTTTCTAATTGGTAGGTCTTACAGGTTATAGGCATCAAAACTTCCAACTAAGTTTTTTGAAGTATATATTGTACTACTTCCAATATTATATATTGGTATTTTAAAGCTGATATTTCTGTGTTCTGTTTCATACTTGTTCCTTTTTTCAAATTTCAACCAAGGATCTTCTACTAGTTATCCAGTTAATAGAATAAATAATGAATGTATAACTAGCATGGCTCAAGGTAACCTGGTAAC